ATAAAATACTGACATTTTCTCTTTCTCTCACCCTCAGCCTCATCCACCTAATCTGTCATTTATTTTTGTTTTGATGATAAATTGAGCCAGCCTCCAAAAGTAATTAACCTGTCCTGTGATTTTTCTCTCTCTCACACAACACTCTCCAGACACGGATGTATGAGCTATAGTATGTTGGTTGCCTTTACATTAGAATAATATTTAATATAATCTAGATATGAAATGGAATAAATAGCATTCAATACAAAATGAATATGTCTCATATATTGAAATCAAGTTTTATGTGATAAAATATTTGCTTTGTTGTGCATTAGAACCACATCAGGCATTTAGTACAAAATAATTTATTGAAGCATCCAGATACTTCACCACGTGACAGCAGCTAGGCTCCTGATTGGTTAACGCGGCGCGAATTGACGCCAAAGTTCAGATTTTTCAACTCGGGCGGCAGACGCGAATTCCCGTCAAACGCGTGAATGCACAAAAGCACTCAATAAAATCATGCGCGCGGAACGCGTCAGACGCTCGAACTTGCCGCGCGAATGAGGCGTATTCGCATCTACCACGGCGCGCTCTACACCTCATTCGCGCCGCAGGAATTTTTTACGCGCGTAACGCGTCTTTGCATTGACTTAACAATGAAATCACTCACGCCAGACGGTCTATTCTCGTCTGGTGTGAACGCACCATGATGTTTTCTCTGCAGACCTCTACGCCTGCGATGTAACGCCACATTTTTGTTTGAAGGTGTGCCTCCTCTAAAAGTGTCCGCCGTCCGGGTGAAACAGTATGCTATTTTTATTTACCCGCCACGGTGGCCGGTAGGTGAAGCGAGTTTACCCGCCCAACACAACATCACCCGCATTTGGCTGGTGGCGGGTGCTAATTTCCATCCCTGGATCTTATTATAATATTACCGCCCCTTAATCCGCCGCCATTTGGTTTACAACAGTGTAACCAGTTCTAACAAAATGGCAAAAGGTGGAGCAAAGCATGCAAACTGTTCTGTTGTTGCTGCAAGGACGAGCACTGAACACTATTTGACCAAAAAATGTCACAGCTGTCTTATAAAGACTTCAGGGAACTGTCAAGTTGTGTAAAAGTTAAACATGACAGCACATGAAAGTCGATGAGATGAATCAATGTAACTCCACAACAACTACATTCATGTATCACGTTTGTTATTGCTGGAGTATGCGAAGCTTGTGTAAAGGATTGGCCCTCTTCTGGAAAGGGGGCCGGAGCAGTAGCTCATTTGCATTTAAAGGGACACACAAAAACGGCACGATTTTGGTCACACCCAAAAAGGGGCAACTTTGTCATGCTATAATAAATGATCCAGGGGGTATTTTGAGCTGAAATTTCACAGACACATTCTGGGGACACCATAGATTTGTAATTCATCTTGTGAAAAGGGGCATAATATGTCATCTTTAATGCTGTCTTTTGTTGGACAAGAGGTTTATAAATGCTTCTCAAGTTTGGCAAGATCTTTTATTTGTGTTGCTTTATCAAATGCACGTTATTAGCGACTAAAACTCGTAGTGCTTTCAGATGGAGCAGCATTTACTACTGATCCCAGAGCCGTACGTCACTGACGAGCTGCGCATAAAAAATAATCGCAACCTTTGCGATTTCATAATCGCAATAAGCCAAATCGGTTTAACCGTGATTTCATGTTAATAGAGCCCTAGAGTGTACATAATTAAGATTTCCATTACACGAGAGTAGATGTTAAAACTTCCTGCTGATTTGTACTCGGCTTTCGCCAAGACAAGCAACACTAAGACGTAGCTTTACAGTAAACTATGCTTCACCCATTTACGCTTCTTTCCATATGGTGGTGTGACTCTCCTTCTGTCCGGCGTTAACGACTGCAGTGTACTTGGCGTGTCAGCACACACGACGGCTGCAACTACAGTGTGGTCTCCCTAGTGGACCAGCACGACAACCGTCTGGATTGAGCCGAGTAGGGGACATCTCTAGGGTCTTCAAGTGGGCACCTTCCGTCCTCAGTGTTTCGTCGACTAGCCCACGACACCTCAAGAGGGCTCGACAGGACTCTGGCATCCCAGAGTCACCCCCCTCCGTCCCCCACTCAACTCAGCCCAGCTTACTGACCTCTACATCCCTCCTGCTGCTGAGACCTAACCACAATCTCACAATCTCTCCGCAACCCAACCATACGCGCCAACCCGTTTAACTAAGGCTGTCGAGCCCCACTGGTGCGTTAATGCAGTTTCAGTGGCAACGGTTCCGTATGGCATACCACCTACCGCAAAACACAATATCTGCCCAACCACCCGTCATTCACGCAATATACACAGGAACGTAATGACTGTAAATACTATACAACCTATACAAATAAACCAACAGACTCTTCAAGTTTTCAAGAATTCTACGAAACCGTAGCGTGGCGGCCTGTACACAGCCAGCTAGAATCTTTCCGTCTCAACCACAGCCAGTTGCTGCTCCTTTCTGCTGCTTCAGATAAGTTCTTTACTGTGCGACGCAACTCTTGGCCACTGAATACGACGTCTCTGAGGAACCGGGTTGTAGAGTGTGCCACAAAACCTCGACAACCCACTTCCACTGGATAAACCTGGACTCTCCATCCTCGCTGTTCTGCTGCAGTGGCCAGATGAGCATACCGCAGTTTCTTCCTCTCATATGCCTCATCTACCGCATCCTCCCATGGCACTGTTAACTCTATCAGTTGAACAATGCGTGCTGAATAAAAATAGACAGTTTCCAGTGATGTTTTTCCCTCTTTTCCACCTTGCTTTTAAATCGCTTATGAATGCCCGTTTTAGCTGCAATTCCGCAGTGGGCAAGTGAACGCCTCGTAAGAAAATGACAGCGTAGGCTACGCACAACACGTTAATCAAACCAAGTTTGAAAAGAGTTGTTGCATTTTACCGTGCAGCATTGGTCAATCTATCAATTAGAGTAACAAATTAACAATTCCTTAATTTTTTATTTTATTTTAAGCAATCAGGAATCTGGGGGGCTTTACTCATATTGCAACATTTTGGTCAAATCGCCCACCCCTAAATTGTGTGTACCAAGATGGTTCACTCGTATTACAATGAATGAGAGTAGTCACAGTATGGCAGTAAATACTGCCTTCTAAATAAACACGCCAGTTGGTAAAGTCATTGCATCACTGCAGCTGCTGCTAGAAGCTCCGATAGAAGCAGTTACTTATCTGAGTGTAAGCACCGATTTATGATACTTTATTGCTGATTTGAAATATGTTATTGAAGTGTGAGTTTTTGGAACAGTTTTTGGTATTTCCCCATTCAAGCAGATACAAGTTGCTTGTTCCTGCCCAAAACATCTGCCCTGGAGTCGTTGCCAATATGACTGCTTAGTGATTTGGTTATGCTCAAATAAACTTTCCGTGCCAGCGTTTTTCAAAAAAGTTGCCCACCAGCGTTTGTGATCATTTTCACGAAACTTTCATGGCCCGCAGAATATTTTGTTGTATAAATAATTGAACACGCATCAAAAGAAAGGATGGAGCCTCTGCTTTAAAAAAAAGTTTTTTTTTTTATTAACACTTGAATGTGGTCAAGTTTCACAAAAAAAAGTAACATTTTCAACAGCGTTCTGGCGCAATATGGCTGCCGTCGTATCATCCAGGTGGATGCTGCACATTGGTGGTGGTTGAGGAGATCCCCCCCCCCCCCCTTTCTATGTAAAGCACTTTGAGTGCAGAGAAAAGCTCTATATAAATGTAATTAATTATTATTATAGTTATTTAACAAAAAGTGCATAAGCAGTGCTTTTATCGCTTGTTTCTGCACCTCTTTTGCCTGTTTTGATCCGGAGATTCTGTACTCTTTCAGAAGTTGCCTGATAGCTAACCCCCCTACTGTATTAAAATAAAAACACGGAAAGTCGAAAAATTCCTTCACTGGCAGAGAAGCGTCTCATAAATGATAGAAAATTCTGTTAATGGAGCTGAAAGATTTAAAAGTAGTACACAAATATTGCATGAACAGTTCATTTTAATTAGATTAAACTGTTTTTATTATTAAGTTTCAGTATTGAATGATTTAAGTACGATGAACATTTCTATCGGTTCATACATTTTTTGCACTGATCTGCATTGCATTCTGGGATTGCCATTTCTGCAAAGCATACAAGCAGGGCCTAAATTGAACACTTATCAATCGCCAAATGTTTGTAAAAACTGCAGTTGGTGAGTATATGAAATTGTGTCACTAGTTGGTTGGTAACTTTTATGAATTCTAATTGAATTATCAAATCACAAAGGCAGCGATTAGGTTATATAATATTTAGTCTGATGCTCTGTGTTTCAGAGTGAAAGGGTGTGTTCTTTTACAACTGAGCAACTCATGATCTTTGGGTTTTCAGCATCTCAGAATGGCTTGGTACGCAGTAAATTCTGCTCACACAAGTGCTGAGAGTTTGGGTCGCTTATACGTGCATTTGAAAATGTATTAAATACTAGATTTGTAGACAATTTTTACAGTACAATAGTATTACTACTACTATGGTAACTGGTTAAACTATGCTGACCCACTCACAAGCACACAATTTTAACTAGAAAAATCACATCTAGATTTGTTTCCCCAAATCATTCAGCCAGTAGTAGTAGTAATAGTAACTGCTTGTTTTTTAATGAAATAAAGCAAATAAAGTTTAATGGACAGGACATTTTCTCAAGTCACTGGCCATTGGCAGATGTGGCAAAAATAGTCTTGGCCCCTGAATACAAGCTTTGCTGCTTTATGATTAAACAGAATCCAGAAGAAGGAATCATAGAAGGCATGTTTGTGATTTACAATGTTACAATGCCCAAGGAGTACATGCTAACTATTTGCATTTTTCTCTCAGCATTCAATATTTGAAAACATAATGTTTGTTGTGTTTTGGAACTTAAAATAATGGTTATAAACTGATGCCGCTATAGCCTGAATGCCGTTACGCAAATGTATAAATATCCTCTTTTTCTTTTCTACATCCTATAGATGGCTTCAGCTACAGATAATCGTTATGGACAAAAGGAGTCTTCCGACCAGAACTTTGATTACATGTTCAAAATCCTGATCATCGGGAACAGCAGCGTTGGGAAGACGAGCTTTCTGTTTCGTTATGCTGATGACTCCTTCACCCCAGCATTTGTAAGCACGGTGGGCATCGACTTCAAGGTGAAGACCATCTACAGGAATGACAAGAGGATAAAGCTGCAGATCTGGGTGAGATATTGTTTACCATCAGCACTGAGAGCTTTGATTAGGTCCTGATGTAGAGAAATGAAACATATCTGTGCCAGTTTAAGGGCTTGTTGTGGTAGAAAAGAGATTGATGTTTTTTTATTATTATTCAAAACCGAATAATGAATCAATAATATCATAGCAGATTTTTGCATTTTAGCTATTTTCTTACTGGAAAGTCCATAGTAGGTGATCCATTATTATACTAGGGTTAAAGTCACTGTTTATTGATTGATTGTTTTATTTCAGACCCATAAATCTTATTTAAATCTCTGGAACAGAGCTGTGGTTTAATATGCAAGTGTAAAAAAAACAGGTATTTAACAGGATGCAAAAATTCAAAATATGTAAAACAATTGTGATAGTAATGCCATAAACCTAAATATGTAAAATCAACCAATGGAATCAATTAAGCCCTTGTGGTTTAAAGAAATGTTGTGTTCTACAGAGAAACACACAGAGAGAGATATGGTCAGTAGCTAGTATGGTTGGGGAGGTTTGCTGATGGGTAACCAATCAGAATCGCTTGTGATGTATCAGGACCCCTCCCCCGATGCCTCAAATTTCCCTCTGGTGAAGACGACCCTCCCCCACCTCACAGACCGCAGCAAAGACCTGACCAGATTCACACACACTAGAGAAAAGCTTGCTCTCGCCATCTTACCATGGATAAAATATAGTGTTGTGTGGCATACAGTATATGGTCTAAAAAGACATGGAAATTTGGCTATATTCAGAATTGAATACTTGCTTGCAATTTATTGAATATTGCACAAAATGTACTGTATATGGTCAACCTTCTTCATTTATTCAAAGTATTATGCAACGATAAACATTTCAGACAGTAGGCTACTATGCTACATTGTTGTCACATGACCTCAAGCATGATTCATAGAGTGGCGCCCAGTTGTCACCTTGGAAATATATGGGGTTATTTTTCATTTAAATCCTGTTTTGTGTAAGAATGTCAGATCAAATTATGTCCCAAGACATGTTAGGTATTGCAGTTGTTAATGCTTCCAGTTCATTCGTCACACTAGAAATGGAAAGTGAGTCTATTCAAGCGCATTATACACCATGCTGTGTGCTCTTTTGTAGTCTGCATACTATTTGGTTTTTGCTTAGCATGGATGGATGCAGAATTTAATTGGCACATAACAGTGCATGTTTGCCCTGATGCTCTGTACTGTAGCTACTCTTTGAAAATGGTTCAGGGTCAGTGTAATAGAAAACAGAAACACTTGCTGGATTGCAGCATATTGTTGAAAAGATGCTGATGTATTACTGTGGTATCAGAGTCAAGAGCCAAAAATAGGCTTTCGGTCTCACAGATATTTTGGTATATTAATAGGTCCATCAGTGATGTTCAGTAGACTCCATTTTGACCTCGTGAAGTCTCAATGAGAGGTTACATTGTCGGTGAGGATTAGTCTATTGATTTGATACACTAGGCTTATGTCCTCGTAGTTCTACCATCTTAATGTTTCTCTTAGAAAGTCTTTGATAGTTGAATCAACTGGAGTTTATCATTTACCCACCTACATGTTGTGCCAAACCCATAAGACTTTAGTTCATCTTCGAAACAACGTAATCAGATTCCAGAAATTAAGTACCTGTAATTAGATTACGTTTCAAAAATACTCGTAAGTAGTGTGTGTGTATATGTGAAAGCGTCTCAACAGATTGTAAAATAGGCACTATGATTATATATTAGTCACATATTTGAGGTCTAAATAACTACATTCTCGCCTAAAAAAACTCTTAAAACTACATTTCGTGACACAACAACAGTAATATTTTTCTTTTAAAATATGGTGGATTTGCTCGACCGCCATTACAGTCGCCGCAACCGGAGTGATACTAACGGTGAAACGGTTAGAGTGCTGTTACTGTGTGAATATAGCACGGCTGGAAAAGGCTCTCAGCCAATCAGATTCGAGAACCAGAAAGAACTGTTGTATAAATATATATATATATATATATATATATATATATATATATATATATATATATATACACTCACCGGCCACTTTATTAGGTACACCTGTCCAACTGCTCGTTAACACTTAATTTCTAAGCAGCCTATCACATGGCGGCAACTCAGTGCATTTAGGCATGTAGACATGGTCAAGACAATCTCCTGCAGTTCAAACCGAGCATCAGTATGGGGAAGAAAGGTGATTTGAGTGACTTTGAACGTGGCATGATTGTTGGTGCCAGAAGGGCTGGTCTGAGTATTTCAGAAACTGCTAATCTACTGGGATTTTCACGCACAACCATCTCTAGGGTTTACAGAGAATGGTCCGAAAAAGAAAAAACATCCAGTGAGCGGCAGTTCTGTGGGCGGAAATGCCTTGTTGATGCCAGAGGTCAGAGGAGAATGGCCAGACTGGTTCGAGCTGATAGAAGGGCAACAGTGACTGAAATAACCACTCGTTACAACCGAGGTATGCAGCAAAGCATTTGTGAAGCCACAACACGCACAACCTTGAGGCGGATGGGCTACAACAGCAGAAGACTCCACCGGGTACCACTCATCTCCACTACAAATAGGAAAAAGAGGCTACAATTTGCAAGAGCTCACCAAAATTGAACAGTTGAAGACTGGAAAAATGTTGCCTGGTCTGATGAGTCTCGATTTCTGTTGAGACATTCAGATGTTAGAGTCAGAATTTGGCGTAAACAGAATGAGAACATGGAACCATCATGCCTTGTTACCACTGTGCAGGCTGGTGGTGGTGGTGTAATGGTGTGGGGGATGTTTTCCTGGCACACTTTAGGCCCCTTAGTGCCAATTGGGCATCGTTTAAATGCCACGGCCTACCTGAGCATTGTTTCTGACCATGTCCATCCATTTATGGCCACCATGTACCCATCCTCTGATGGCTACTTCCACCATGTCACAAAGCTCTAATCATTTCAAATTGGTTTCTTGAACATGACAATGAGTTCACTGTACTAAAATGGCCTCCACAGTCACCAGATCTCAACCCAATAGAGCATCTTTGGGATGTGGTGGAACGGGAGATTCGCATCATGGATGTGCAGCCGACAAATCTGCGGCAACTGTGTGATGCCATCATGTCAATATGGACCAAACTCCCTGAGGAATGCTTCCAGCACCTTGTTGAATCTATGCCACGAAGAATTGAGGCAGTTCTGAAGGCAAAAGGGGGTCCAACCCGTTACTAGCATGGGGTACCTAATAAAGTGGCCGGTGAGTGTATATATATATATATTAGGGCTGTCAGTTAAACGCGTTATTAACGGCGTTAACGCAAACCCATTTTAACGCGATTAATTTTTTTATCGCGCGATTTACGGTCTTTTTGGCCTAGCAAACTTTGTAGTTTTTTTCACATGCTTTTGCAACCGGACGTGGCATGCGCAGCGCTGCGCTATGAAACGTCTCTGGTTACTCACGTAACCGTAGTTCCCTGAGAGGAGGGAACGAGACATTACGTATGGGGGAAATCCATTTTCCTCGAATCATGAAGTCTGATAGAATAACTCTTTTGCTTGCAAATAGCCAATGGCGGTCCCGCCATCACCTGATTGGCTGACACTGCTCAATATAGGTGACGGCGGGCGCCAAAAACCTCAGAATCTTAGCTGAACGAGAGTAAGGAGACTGAGAGTCCCTCCCACGCGGCAGGTTATGTAATGTCTCGTTCCCTCCTCTCAGGGAACTACGGTTACGTGAGTAACCAGAGACGTTCCCTTATCGAGTCGGTCTCTCGACATAACGTATGGGGAACAATAAAACCCCCGCCGCGTGGGAGAAGCCCCGCCCAGCTCTCAGGAACAGACACCGGACCTGGTTGAAACATCTATTGGCACAGAGCCAACTCGGCATCTGCACCAACGAAGGCCCCTCCCATCAAGCTAAGCACGCTGAACTGAATGGAGGGAGATTGCAGCAAAGTGATTGGTGCTTAGGAAAATACTGCCGGCTATGAATACGGGCATAACAAAGGGCACAATATAGTGAACATGATAGCTATGCTAATAATAACTCGCACTGTCTGACGACTAGTCGAACCGTGGCTAGAGCGCGCGCCATCGGGGCAGTCTAGCCTAGTCCAACGACAGCTCAGCTTTCTCTCCCTGCACTGACAGACATGTGGTGCGAATGAAGGGATATCCAAGTTATAGAATCTCGCGAAGGTATTACGAGACGACCAACCTGCCGCGAAACAAATGTCTTGAATAGACATGCCTTTCGCCCACGCCCATGATGACGCCAAACTCCTAGTGGAGTGGGCGTGCACCCCTATAGGGAAACGGCTTCCCGGGAAGCATAAGCCAGCCAGTGCACAGCCTCCACTTTCCAGTGAGATAGCCTCCGTTTCGACAACGCGCCGCCTCTTAGCACCCGCGTAGCAGACGAAGAGCTGCTCTGAAGTTCGAAACTGGCTAGTTCTGTTCACATAAGCACGCAGGGCACGCATGGGGCACAAAGCGTACTTCTGAGACTCTGAAACACTGACCTCATCCGGGCAAAATGCTGGAATTGTAACCACCTGGGCTCTGATGAATATACGCAGTAGATAATAGCCCCATAATAGCATAGCACCTCAGTAAACAACAAACACATAGCCGTAGCTACAACTGTGAGTAGACAAGTTAGCACAGAATAGCCAGTTGCACTGAAGGAAACGGGGCAACATAACAGCATAGCACATGTACGTAACAGCATCGGTCGCTGTAGCGCATCCATGCATGTACATAACGCAGCATAAGTCGCCGTAGCGACAGAACTGCGTAGAGACAGAAACTGAGATGTACAGTTCGATCAGGATGGCTAGCTGCACGGAAACGGGGCAGCATTACAGCATAACACATGGTAAATTGCACATCCGTGTACGTACATACATCCAGAAACTGTGAGTATGCACGGTAGATTAAGATAGCTAGTTTTGCACTGAAAGAACAGAGCAACAAAATAGCAACACACGTCCTTATACGTACATAAGTGCAGTGTAGTCGCTGTAGCGACAAACTGAATATGCAGTTAGATAGGATAGCTGGTTGTTGCACTGAATGATAGAGGGCAACATAACAGCATAACACATCAGTGCACATTTCAAACATCTGCGTGTATAATGCAGCTCAAGTCGCTGAAGCGACCGAAACTGCATGAATATGCGTACACAATGGTCCATTACATTGAAGGGCAGCATAACGCTTCAATATCTACACAGATGCAACGCAAGTCGCCGTAGCGACGACTGAGACTATGCACAAGCAGTTACATTTTTGTGTACAAAAAACACAGCATCAGAGGCATAGCGACATCGACTGTGAATACGTAGTTAATCGGACTAGCCGGCTGCACTGAGGATACAGGGCAATATATAACGGCATAAATCATAGGCACATATCAATGTACATAACACAGCGTCAGTGGCATAGCGACATCGACTGTGAATGCGTAGTTAATCGGAATAGCCGGCTGCACTGAGGATACAGGGCAATATATAATGGCATAAATCATAGACGCATATCAATGTACATAACACAGCGTCAGTGGCATAGCGACATCGACTGTGAATGCGTAGTTAATCGGAATAGCCGGCTGCACTGAGGATACAGGGCAATATATAACGGCATAAATCATAGGCACATATCAATGTACATAACACAGCGTCAGTGGCATAGCGACATCGACTGTGAATGCGTAGTTAATCGGAATAGCCGGTTGCACTGAGGATACAGGGCAATATATATAACGGCATAAATCATAGACGCATATCAATGTACATAACACAGCATCAGTGGCATAGCAACATCGACTGTGAATACGTAGTTAATCAGAATAGCCGGTTACACTGAGGATACAGGGCAACATATAACGGCATAAATCATAGACACATATCAATGTACAAAACACAGCGTCTGTGGCATCGCGCAACAACTGTGACTACACAGTAAAAGAGTAGCTAGTTGCACTGAAGGATACAGGGCAATATATAGCGGCGTAATAGTTACACATATCAGTGCGTTGTGTGTACACAGCGTCAGTTGCATCGTACAACAATTGTGAATACGTAGTGATCAGAATAGCCATTTGCACTGAAGGATAGGGCAAAATATGACGGCATAGATCATAACACATATCAGTGTGTAGTGTGCACAAACACAGCGTCAGTTGCATCGCACGACAACTATGAATACACACTGCGTAGTAATCAGGATAGCCATTTGCACTGAATGACACAGGGCAATATAGAATGGCATAAATCATTACACATAACAGAGTGCGGTGTGTACGTAACACAGCGTCAGATGCATCGCGCACCAACTGTGAATACGTAGTAATCAGAATAGCCATTTGCACTGAATGACACAGGGCAATATAAATCATTACACATATCAGTGTGCAGTGTGTACAGCGTCAGTTGCATCGCACGACAACTGTGAATACGTACTGCGTAGTAATCAGAATAGCCATTGCACTGAAGGACACAGGGCAATATATGGCATAAATCATTACACATAACAGTGTGGTGTGTACGTAACACAGCGTCAGTTGCATCGCGCAACAACTGTGAATACACACTGTGTAGTAATCAGAATCGCCATTGCACTGAAGGACACAGGGCAATATATAATGGCATAAATCCTTACACATAACAGTGTGGTGTGTACGTAACACAGCGTCAGTTGCATCGCGCAACAACTGTGAACACGTACTTGCAGTAATCAGGATAGCCATTGCACTGAAGGACACAGGGCAATATATAATGGCATAAATCATTACACATAACAGTGTGGTGAGTACGTAACACAGCGTCAGTTGCATCGTGCAACAACTGTGAATACACACTGTGTAGTAATCAGAATCGCCATCGCACTGAAGGATACAGGGCAATGAATGCTGCGGCGGGGGCTGGGCGGGCGCCAGCCACCGGGGAAGCATTGACTGCTATATGAAGGGGGACATGCCGAGGCCACCTTTCCGACGGCAGCTCCTTGGGCGCTGTCCACTCCAGCTCCATATCTGCCACCGCCTCAGTGAGAATGGCCATAAGCTCCGCATCCAAAGAGGCGAGGGCGCCTTCAGACGGAGACTCGGACCATTGGCGTCGTCATCGTCGTAACCGAACGAGATAATCCCCGTGCTTCCTCAAGAGGGCGGTAAATGGCCTCAAGAGTAACTCACGGGCTCTGCCACGTGAGGATGGCGTGGACCTTGGGCCGACGTCAGCGCCTCAACAGAACCCGCGAATGGAGATCTCTGCCGTCTCCCGGTCCGCGGCTCGACGGCGGCAGACTGGGGAGAGGCAGGAGACACAAGGTCGTCGCTACGTGTAACGGCCAGCCTTGCACGAAGGATCTGATGGGAAGCTCCTCACAGGCGACAAAGAGACATAATATAATCCACCGGAACGCGAGAGGGGTATTAAAACTCCTTAATATACTCCGCTCTGAATGCGTACATCAACGGTGAAAACAGACTCGAGTGAAGAAAAAAGATTCTGAGGTTTTTGGCGCCCGCCGTCACCTATATTGAGCAGTGTCAGCCAATCAGGTGATGGCGGGACCGCCATTGGCTATTTGCAAGCAAAAGAGTTATTCTATCAGACTTCATGATTCGAGGAAAATGGATTTCCCGCATACGTAATGTCGAGAGACCGACTCGATAAGGGAACCCATTCATTTCAATGGCTTGTGCCGCACGAGGACGTTTTGTTGCTTCGTCAACCAAAGCGCAAGAGCAGCGGCGTGCACACCGCGGTCAAAATTCAAAATAGTTCAACTTTTGCCGTTGTGACGATTACCAGCACGGCCAATAAACGTTTTGGCATCCAAAAAGTTTTGAAAACTGGCGTAGCGCCGGTTTCTTATCTCTTTCAAGATTCTGAATTGAAAGTTTACTTTTAAAAAGTTGCCAAATGGTCCTATTGACAACCTAGACCAAAGTGATCTGTGTGTTTTGTCGTTGTGAACTGAGCTATCACCATCGCAGCATGTCCAGTCTGAAATACCACTTGATGGCCAAGCACACACACAGCTGATGCGAATTCTCCGCCCCCTCGTCAATATAAGTACCTCGTCAGTATTTCTTTCACCCTTTTATTGATGGACAGTGTTACATTGTGTGAGAGATTATTTGCTCCAAGTGAGAATGTTAGTGTGAAATTGAACACAGTATTGTCAATGTTGTTTTCAATAAAAAACATTATATATTCAATGGATATATTTGTAACACTGGTTTATTTCTTATTTCAGGTTTATGACCTGTGGTCAATTGTATAAATAAACAAAAATACAAGACTAATGACAAACACGAGTCATGCCATGTGTGCTGCCTGTCACTAGCCCATTCGGATGGCTGAAAATCTGAAAAGATCCGCACATGCACAAAGCAAGCCGATCCACTTTTCCATGTTGATAAGAACATTAAAATTAGAAAAAAATAATGGGACAAAAATAAATCAAGAGACATTTAGAATAGATAAAAATGTGTGATTAATCGTGAGTTAACTATGGCATTAATGCGATTAATCGCGATTAAATATTTTAATCGTTTGACAGCACTAATATATATATATATATATATATATATATATATATATATATATATATATATATATATATATATATATATATATATACACGTGTGTCTGTGTGTGTGTACAAAGTTCTGGCATGAAACTCTATAGATGGCGCAGGCTAATAGGTCCTTTAACTCACCTGTTCAAAATCACATTGTTATCTATAGGGCACAGCTGATTGGTTCCTGCCTTTGAGCTCGCTGCTCCACCATCAAATACTTGGGTAGCATTTGCAGCATGCTTTCAGAAACCCTCCACCTTCCCCAGCTCCACCTATATTTGCTATGGGTAATTCATATACGCTATATTGTACAGCAGCAGCATGTCTTACTTGCTCACAGCAGCGTGTTGTGTATGTATTGGCAGTAGCAAGTACGTACTTGCTCTTTAGCAGCAATAAAATCAGCAGCAGCAATAACCTACAGCAGCAATAAAAGCAGCAGCAGCAGCAATAAAATCAGCAGCAGCAATAACCTACAGGAGCAATAAAAGCAGCAGCAGCAGCAATAACCTACAGCAACAGCAGCAATAAAAGCAGCAGCAGCAACAGCGTAGCAGATCTATTCCGCCAAGACCAAGCATACAACATTGTCATACCCATTACTATGCCAATCACTCCGAGAGTGACACTGTCATGACAGAAATATATATATATATATATATATATATATATATATATATATATATATATATATATAAAGCGTAGTGTTAGTTCTGGCAGGTCACATTATCAGCAGCTATCGTGTTTCTCAGGAGCGAATACCCTCCTCCATCCCCAGCTTCTCCTCTCGTCCAGTCAGTATTTGGCCTTCTGAGAGCCCTTTGAATCAGAATAAATTCTCGAATTATGCTGTACTTAATATCTTGAATTAATGATATCTGCAATACATTCTGTTTACCCTAAGGGGGGTTATTGTGCTCTCCCTGCTCTTATCCATGCTAGGCTGCATGGATGCGCAGGGAGTTCTTGCCCAGAACAGAACCATACCGCCAATCCTAACTGTATGCTAATTGTCAATCGTATTTGACGATAGTGGTCCTGACAGAAATATATATGTATATGTGTGTGTGTTCTTACAGTAGGGCAGGGATGGGCAACTTCGGTCACTGTCCTACAGAGTTTAGCTTCAACCCCAATCAAACACACCTGAACAAGCTAATCGAGGTCTTCAGGATTACTAGAAAGTTACAGGCAGGTGATTTTTTTCAGGGTTGGAGCTAAACTCTGTAGGACAGTGGCCCTCCAGGACCGACGTTGCCCATCCCTGCCATGCCTATTCTCGGCTGATGCCAACAAACGCATATTCTGTATATTTTAAATGTAAAAAATGCATTTTCATTTGTTCCTATTTCATCTTGTGAATTACTGACTATTCCTTTACAGGACACAGCAGGACAGGAACGTTACAGAACCATCACCACTGCCTACTACCGCGGAGCCATGGGCTTCATCCTCATGTACGACATAACCAACGAGGAGTCTTTCGCCGCAGTGCAAGACTGGTGAATTAACTAAACATGCGAAACATTCTGCCTCAAATATAACAGAGGAAACTGTGTTTAACAAGCTAAGATTTAATCATGTGTAACTGGTCTCCCGTAGGTCCACACAGATTAAGACATACTCATGGGATAACGCTCAGGTGCTTCTAGTGGGCAACAAGTGTGACATGGAGGATGAGAGGGTGGTGGCCTCTGAGAGGGGCCGACAGCTGTCCGAGCATCTCGGTAAGTCATGTTTGGTGGTTGGCACAGCTGTGTCATTTCAAATATTCTTTCAGGGAGAAATGTATTTGCTGAAATATATCATATTTTCCAGAACACATGTTTTTCTTTTAAATCATCTTTTTATCAAGTTTATTTTTATAACGCATTTCCCACATGCCGGTAGTTTTTCTTTCGCATTAGTTAAATTGATTTAGACTTGGTGTCTATAATAAATGTTGTTTATGATGACTGGCACTATAATTTGTTTGTTTTCTACTTTTTTTTTCTGTTTAAAGTATTTATTGTGTAGTGAGGACAACTCAAATACATGTTGATAGTGTTTATAATGTTTGTAACATTTCGTTTTATTCACTGTATTTTACATTATTTTTGAATGTAAAAATAAAATGTGACTTTTATACATTGATGTGAATTATGGAATTGCAATTTTGACCCGATGTGACTAGTCAGGTGCGACTTATTTTCTGGAAAGTACGGCATCCATTTTTTCATGGCTTGATATTTGTATTAGCTATATTGGGTTGGGTTCCAAAACCTAGTAAGCTGTCTACTGCCTACATAGGCAACTACTATCTAAAGCAGCATACTAACAAAAAAAAAAGCTCTGTGCGTCATACAAATTACAATTCATTTCAGTAGTTTGCCGTTAGCATGTAGCTAAGCTAAGGATGCAATACTCTAAAAAGCACACACTATAGTCCACTTTTTATTATTTCTGGAAGTTTCTGGAGCTTCACCAGAAGGAATTACAGTAGACATGGTTCTTGTTTCCAAAAACCGGCTCTACAAAGATACTAGTGTACCTCCTCATCTCAATGTTGTAAAACTTGTCAAAGGCAACTGTAGCAAAATAAAAACTATGGTACAACTTTCAACTGACAACTGCCGAATATGGCGCTTAAATTGAAATGCTGCTTTAGTCAGTGGCAGCTCACTGGGTTTTAGAACAGGGCCTTAGTCTTGACTTGGTTTCTTCTATTATCCTCAGGTTTTGAGTATTTTGAGGCCAGTGCCAAGGACAACATTAATGTTAAACAAACCTTCGAGCGGCTGGTAGACATAATCTGCGAGAAGATGTCAGAGAGCCTGGATGCTGCTGATCCTGCAGTGACGGGAGCCAAACAGGGGCCGCAGCTCACAGAGCAACCCGCTGCCCCGCACCAGGACTGCGCCTGCTGAAAACCCCACGGCTCTTTCTGCACTGCCTTGCACCAACACACACACAGAAAAAAACAAGTTTAGGTATTTCAAAAGATCAAGAAACATAAAACCTTCAGTTCCCCTTACTGCCTCCTCTGGCCACACCCTCTCCTCTCTGATGTCTCACTTTAACACCTCAAGCTTTGACATGGTTTTATTCAACCTGCAATCCATTACATTTTAAAAGGAAAGCCATAGCACCCTTTACAAATTCGATTAGGCTTGATTAAGCCTGTGTTATGTTTTAAAGACTTAATGAAGTTCCAATTTTAGGGGTGTGTTATTAGGACCAAGTTTGGTGTAGCACACAAAATCAGTAATCTTTTAAGTTTTCGATGCCTTCATTTCACTTCATATTCTTTTCTTGTACTCTTCCATAACCTTATTTATGAACAAATATAAAAAAAAAGAGGAATGGGGAGAGATTTCTGTATATTTATTCCAAAAGTGTACATAATGAATACAGTTCAGTATTTAAATTATAAAGTTAGAGATACATATCTAAAATGTTTTATTTTTATTTTTTTTATTATTATTCTTTTTTGAAAATGACCAATTCAGTCAAATATAAAGAACGTTATAGAAGTATAGAAGAAGCTGTTTTCATGGTAATTCTTTGCAGTGCGAGTCACCAACCTTGCTTATTTGTATCTGTGACATTGTATCTTGTTTACTGCCTTGCCTCATGTAATTTCAGTCCCGGGACTGAAAGCCAGATATCATACACAAACATTCCTTGATGTAAATTTGCATGGAAGGAAATAAAGCCATTTAGGCAAATAGTGGTAGGATTCCATTCTAAATGCTTCATTAGGTCTAGTCAAGTATATTTCTAGTCAAAAACAGAGTCTGATTTGCAGCCATGTTGTAATTTCATTATAGCAGCAGAGCCATAAGTTCAACCTACTTGCTATCAATAACACTCTTATACGCTCACGAAATTTAGCAAATGTCTGAGATTTGACTGGAATTTCCCATAAAGACTTTCTAGACTGGTGTGTCCTATGAAATATTTTATGTGGCTCTGTATAATACCACACCTGCAACTATAATGAGAAATCCGTTTGCAAAAAAAGAAAAAAAGTCCATGACAAGTATTAACGTTTACATGTGTAAGACCCTCCCTGATTATTCCTGCATCTTTCCTTTGCTATTCTGCCTTCCTTTAGTGAAAACTTATTGTACATACATTTGAGTCTTTGGTTTTATGTGTGAACTGTGTTGTATCAATTCTAGGCTTTAAAAAAATCTAGGTGATATTAAGAAGAAAAAATACAAAAAGAGGATATAAAGGATGTTCTTTACCTGCTGTTGTGTATGCCTGCTTGTGAATGAATGTCACTTTATTACAGAGCAATATTGAAGAAAAATACCTTTCATGTGTTGCAGATTATTTATCATTCTGTTAACATAAACAGACCATTTTTTGTAGGATGTGATGGAAATGTGATTAAGTGGGTAAAATCCTAGTTGACACGTACTGTTGTAAACCAAAGCAGGCAGATCTACCGTGGAGCTGGTTTGCTGAAATTCAAAAGCTTGACTGTATTTGTGGCAAATGCTGTTGATTCTTTAAAACCTCAAATCATGTTGGAAAAAAGAGTTTAATGTAGATATCTGCAGAGGCACTGCTAAAATCCATGGGGCCCAGTACAGATTGTTTTTAGGTGGGTCCCTCTCCTCCAGGACTAATGAGCAGACGATACAATAGATAGAGGACCTTAGTGAGCCCCTTTCATGGCCCTGGAAATCAGAAGTGAGAAGATATGACTGAATCTTTATTAACATCACAGCTCACCATATAAAGTACTCGCTCCACGTTCAGATCAGTTTATCATCACTATATGAGTTTGTTCTCCATTTCCTACATTTTTATCTAGAATTGTTTTTAGTCATGCTTTCCATTGTGTTTTTTTTTCTTTTCTTTTTTTTCTGATAATTGGAGTGTAATGTACAAGGAAAAAAACACTAATATGCAGTAGTAAATGTACTGTACTTACAAAAAGGGGTTTTGTGTTAAAGTGTCCAGTGGTGAAATTTACCAAATCAACTGTCTATGTTGTGAAAATGACTGAACTTATAAAAATAAAGGTTTGTGCTGTTTACTTGAAACTATCTTTGCATGTTTTTATTTATATGTTGGGTCAGGCCTATCGCCTAAATCAGGGGTGTCACTCAGTTCCTGGAGGGCAACTGTCCAGCAGAGTTTAGAACCAACCCTAATTAAACACACCTGAACAAGAAACCTCCAGACAGGTGTTTTGGAGCTACACTGCAGGACAGTGGCCCTCCAGGAGTGGAGTTTAACATGCGCTCTAAATTAAACGACTTCCAATGTGGTTACTATCGCTAGATGGAACTAAAGATTCAACTATAGATGTTAACCTAAAAATAGCAGCACTCCCGGATGAAGGCTGAATCAGGATGTGATAAGGCCAGATATCTCGGCTACCACGTCATCAAGCGGCTCTGAAGGCCGTCTCAATTTGAAGGATCCTTGAAAGCAGCCTTACTTTTGCATCCCTTTCTCAGCTCGTTTTGCAGGATGCATCAAGTGTGTCCTTTGTGTCCTTAAATCACCCACAATCCATTGCACACATTTCAATTAACGAAAAAGAACAGACGGAAAACGAGTCGGCAGTGAGCTTGTCTGAATTCATTATGAAATGTTAGACAAAAATAATGTTTTCGGAGTTTAAGGCATACATGTTATCCTGTGTTTTAGTGTAAATTAATCAATTAACACTAAACTGCTAGTTATGTAAGCCACTGAGACCACAGACGATTGTCATTCACTGTATTGCATTAATAGAACGCCAATTCGGCTAATATGAAGATATTTAAGTATTTTTCCAAAATTAAGTTTTAGTTTTATTTTTGTGCCGTGACTGTGGGGGCGGGAAAATGTGTGACATAGCCATAAGCACTTACTAGATTGTCTCATTCTAACATTTAATGCTGAGGAGGACATACTATATGCAGCCTTCTGTTTGTGAAGCACTCATTGTGCCTTATAGCCATGTCAAACCAAGCTGACGGCTGGGCATCTGTTAGGCTAGTTTTTGTGTTGTGTTCCACATGTTGTCATGTTGAATCGGCTTTAGGCCCATTGGTGAGAGAGATTTGCTGTTCGGCTCTGATTGGTTGATTGGCTGTTCAGCTTAGAGAATGAGTCAATGCATGAGTATAAAAGGGAAAGTGATGAAAGAGAGCAAATAAATCAAGACGGCACAGACAGCAGGCCGCACTAATCTTGAGCCTTCTAATAATCAAATATTTTCATATCTACATGAGCTGACTGGAATGAATAAAGTGATCAGCATGATTGCTATTCAAAATGGTAAGTGCTGCTTTGTTGCTTTGCTGGTTTGTGCAGGTCTTGTTTAGTATGGGGTTAGAATTGTTGCATTATTCCAAATAAATAGATAGAGATTCACAAAAAATGTATCAAATTCACAAATAAATAGATTAAGATCGACAAATAAATGTAAAGAGTTTCACAAAAAAATATAAAACTCACAAATAAATAAAATGAGATTTGCAAATAAAAAAAAATATTTACAAATGTGTTTCATGTCACAAACACAACTCTGCCTGGCATTTATTTGTGAACCGCATTCTGTGCATTTGTAAATCACTGCACGCATTTGTGAATTGCTCCTTGTGCATTTGTAAATCCCCTCACGCATTTGTGGATTTTGAAACACTTCTAGCGTCGACGTGCAGAAAAATCCACAAATAAGTACTCCACCCACCGTTTCCTCAAGCCAATCAGATAACGGCCACATTGAGCTGACCAGCTGACCTATAGTCATATTAATATATCAGCACAAAATCGTTGCGAATTTTAACCAGAAAAAAAAAAACGCAATTAGATTTTCCCCTCCCAAATTGTGCAGTTCTAGAAGTTATGATAATCATGAATATTCAAACTGTTCTCACTGAGGCCTCAAATCTCACCATATATTTTCATAATGAACTGAAAATATTTTTAAACTTCATTAAATAAGAGCTCTTTAATGTTGTGTTTTGCGCCATTGCTTTGGCAAAGTATCTGTCAAACAAACTAAACTCACTAGTCTAGTATAGATTGGACCAGTCTTTTCGAGTGCTGTAACTACTAAGATTTGACCAGTAAAAAAGTAAAATCTGTCATTTCCAATATACACTGCTTAATTGCCTTTTTATTTGAAGGTTCATCTTTTACAGTCATTCAAACACCTGTAGAGTGAAGGCAGGGTGTATGTTTTTACAGTTCAAAAAAATAATAAGTATGCTAAAACATATACTCTGTTGCTCTCTCGACTTTTTTTGTTGGATCATTTAGAATTTAGGCAACAAAAAAAAATTAGGCAATGTTTTAAAATTGTCTCACTTCAACTTAAGTCATGCTGTAATAATAAATAGTTATTTTTCCAATACCTTTCACGCAAAGAAAGAAGCTCAAAGAGTGGTTCAAATAAATATAATTTTAAACAGAATGAGGCAATAGTTCTATAATAGGTTTTGGGGCCTTCATATTCACATAGGGCCCAACAGTAACAGAAGTTACAGGGAGCCCTCATAGTTCAATTGCCTTGTTTATTAAGAGGTCTTGTATAGGCTATGGGACACATATATTACAGCATAAATAAACATTTGTTTTCATTGTTAATGGGTTTTCTGAACCAAACTGGATCACGTGGCCATGATGAAGGATCAAGAGACGGAAACATCCAGGAGAAGTACCGACGGTAAATGACAATGTTATGAGAATATATGTTCTCTGCCGATATGCAATGGGCCGTAAGCTGGGGCAAGGTGGTTTTTGGTGCCGTCTATGAAGGCACTCGTTTGGCGGATGGCCAGAAGGTTTGACCTTTTTTTTTTTTTTACTTACCACTACTAGTTTAGCAAATTGTTGATCTGAATTATTTCTCATCCTTTGATATCTCACTTTATCCTGCAAGCCATCTTACTGTATAATATATTCTCTATTTAGTGAATATATTAAACTACTTCTTAACCTGTTACGATTTAAATTCTTGGTAGGAATTTATGATATTACCTCTACACACATTAATTGCTTTTTTGTTTTGTCCATCAGGTGGCAGTGAAATTTGTCAGAAAGACGAAACACACGGAAAGTATCAGCATTGTGAGTATAAGTGATTTTTCAGCAGACTTTTTTCAGCAGACAAACTCATACAAACTGAGTAAAATCCATATTTAAAACCATCTGACATCAAATTATGTTTCTTTCTTCCAGCCAGAAGTCGCTCTGACAATCCTGGCCAGTAAAAAAAGTCCA